TCTCCTTTAGGTGGACCAAGCAGTAGGGGATGAGCTGATTAAGGAATAGCTTATAACTATCGCAACTAGTTTATCTGCTGTGTAGATTATGTGTTTAAGGGTTACTAAATATACCTCTGGTTTCTCTTATGATGTTGTTAGGAGAAAATAGAACAGTCTTTAACTAATGACTCATATTTTGTACTCACATTTATAGTCTTTTTGCATCTTCTAAAATATATTTTCTTTCTTTATTTATTTCATTTAGCATGTTTTTGCATTTCTTGCATTAAATTGGAGTTTTCATGAATACTTGTTATTTTTACTTTATATTTCATAATTTCTCTATTCTGACCTTTGCCCACTATTTTGGCCATAACTTTTTTCTATAAATCTTCTTTTTGGCTTATTCTTTTTGCAATGGATTTCTGACTTCCTGGGCTTCAATTGGACATATAGATCATGTTGTTTGGAGTTTGGAGCTATTTTTTATTAATTTTTGAAGTTTAGACTTAAAACATACCTTTTAAATTTAGGATTTTTATTTAGGGCTTTTATTATAATTACTTGCGGCAGCCTTAACCCATTTATTTCCGTTTTCATTTAAGACTAGTATATATAGGGGTCAAGAAGTTGACTTTCGACCTCCTTTTTCATAATTTTGGATTTTGTAAGAGTTTTTCCCACTTTTGAGAGAAAACCTTTTTTGTTACCATTTACTTGCCTCTTTTCAAATTCTACAAGAATTCAATTTTTGTTTCCGCTGCAACTCTTAATGATTCTTTTCTCGCGAATCATCTCGTCTCAAGCGTAGATTGCAAGATCGATTGATCGCTCCAAGTTTGTCTTTTTACTTTCTCACAATTCTTGATTAAGATTTGTGTATGCATAATTCGATTGAATTTGATTTTATTCTTGAGTGTAAGATTGATTGATTCATTTCTTTTACATTCAAGGTTTAGGCAAATTTAGTATAGTAATCCTAGCTCGTGTCTGTGATTTGTGGTTTTAATTTATGTTTGTTTTTGTTGTGTTCATTCGTTTTAATTTGCATTTGTTCTTCTATCAATTAATTTCTCGTTTTTGTTTTTTAATTCATTTTTGTTTTAAATTCATTTTCATTTTAAATTTGTTTCATTTTAATTGCTTAGGAATTCGGCTCGAGCAATTGCTAGTGGTAATTTTCCTTCCACCCACTTTTTCTCTTTTAATTCGTATTCGATTTCTGGGTTCAATTCGTGTTCGTTTAAATTATTTTTATCTGAGTTCATTTTTGTCTTCGTTTTAAATTCTTTGTTTTTTTGGGTTTAAATTCTTTTTCATTTCCGCTTTTCAGTTGATAATTCATATTTTTGGTTGCCATCATTTTTTATTCACATTAATGCATTTCAATTTCAATTCCAATTCTAATTTACGTTCTATTTAAATTCTAAAAAACCACAAAACCTCCCAATCTAACCACTGTTGCATGTTTAAAATTAAAAACAGAATGAATTTGTATCCTTGTAAGATGATCTAAGTTTGCTCCCTATATTACAAAATTATTTGAGAAGTCTAGTTTTATTTGAAACCATTACGACATAGTTGTCAGTAACATATTTAACACTCTGATATTATGTCGTTTAATAAAATAGTGCCATTGTATAAAAAGATTTAGATGTAATTAACTACAATATATGTTACAAAAGAAAATTATAAACTTAAAAATTTACTTAAAACAAATATGAAAAGGAAGATTGAACTATTTAGAATAGAGACGTTATCATTAATATTTTATGTTATTGATAAATTATTTGTGACTAATACATTCTCATCATAATTAATAAAATTATAGTAATAATTTAATTAAGTCATTATTATCAATAATATTAGTGACAATATAAAAAAATCATAAATAATGAATTATTAATGATAAATTTTATATTTGTCATTAAAATATGGTCATTAAAAATTATATGTCTAGAATTTGGTGTTTTTTTTTACTTCTATACGTAAAAACATCAATGCTGAGATTTTAATGTGTAATATAACTCCAAAATTTATAAATAGATGTCATGTGAAATTATTTAAAGAAGTAACTTATTTGAGTTAGTTAATTTCACGTTTAGATTTTTGTTTTAATTATTTTCTCTCTTCTCCTAAGATTTGTTAAAATTTCTTTGCAGGATCAAAAGTCATATATCAAATTTCTAATAAGATTTCTACTTTCTTTCTTATTTGTTTCTATTTGTAACATTATAAATAAGTATAACTAATCTTCTTAAATTAGGATATGATAACTTTATTTTAATTTTCCTATATTATTAATGTTATTTCATTTTAAATTTAATATTACAAATAAAAAATTAATTGTGGAGTTATATATAAGTAATTCGTCACAATTTTAATGATGTTAAGAAATTAGCAATGATTATGAGATTTGTCTAAGTTCTTAAATATTAATGCATACACTAATTAGATTCATCTAAAATAATAATAAATTTTGGTTTATAATACAAAAATTTTCATTTAAAGTATTGGAACTGATTTATATTTGTTAACTTAACCTTCAATTGCATGTATAGAAGTTAAATAAGATAATTTTAAGTACTAGAGAAGCAAAGAAAAGGGATTCAAATTATAATCACTTTCATTTATTGTATTTTTTTTGTGTTGTTTGTTATTGTTTGTAAACAAAATCAAATTCATACATATATTTTCTTTATTTTCTAATCTTTAACAAAAGGATAACAAAGTTAATTATCATTTCATCCAAGAAAAAGGTACTACTGGTGATTTCCTACTTTGCAACATACCCACAGCTTGACAAATTGTTGACCTTGAGGGAAGATATAAAGAATAACGTGAGTTCATCAAATAATGCAAACCCATCAATTTATAGCATTAGAAAAAGGGAAATTCATGCATTTGGAAGGCAATCTCCGGCATTGGCCTTACCTTGATTTTGTTTTCATTTATATGTTGCAGTCATTGTTGTATTTCTATATATGTATACAACTTGCTGTAAAATAAATACAATCAACAAAATACATTTTCAAATAATTCTATAGCTCCTCTTAACTTTCTTTAATGAATACATAACATTTGTATACTGGTATATCGAGTTCAATAACAATTTTTCCTTAATTTCTTTAGTTGATATTCAGTTTAATCGGAGGCGAGCTAAGGCCCATACAAGTAAGGCAACGTCTTTAGGCCCTTCAAATTTATTTATTTTTAGTTTTAATATACTTTTAAAAATTTAAAAAAATTTTAATTTAAATATTTAATTTAATTATTAATTTTTTATTAATATTACAAATAATATTTAATTAATCATAATTTTTAATTAATAATAATAAATTATTTTATTAATAAAAAAATTTTCATTTTTAAATTTACTTTAGGCCCTAAAAACTTTTGAGCCGCCACTGAATTTAAATATTAGACTAACTGTGTATATGTTCAATTTTAGAAATTTAACCTATCAAATATTCAGTCTTAAGCTAAAGAAAAATATATTAAGATGTTCCATGTACACTAAAAATATAACCCTAATACTTCCTACAAAATGTAAAAAATAAATTATACTTGATTTTTAAATAATAATTGTATTAGAACTACGTTAAACCTCTTTGTATCATGCATCATAACAATTATGAAGATAAACAACTAAATAAAAAAATGTAAAGTCGAAATCATTTTTTAATATAAAAGTTTTGATTAATTTCAAAATTATAATTTATTATATATGTTGTTGTATCATACATTTTATACAAATATAGTTTTTAGTAAGTACTAGAATTAAGTAAATTATATAATAACAAAAAATATCATCAGTTATTCACTGGCATGTTAATTTAGTCAACATTATGATTAATTTATGCTCTCAATCAAAAGATATAAATTGATATTATTAAATCATCTTAAATTATTAAAAATAATTAAGAAAAACGTTTATACAACCAATTAAAGAAGAACGTGATATTTTTAACACACATATTTTTATTATATTAAGTAAAATTTAAATTGAGATATTACAAATGAGCATATAAAAATAATTAAACTTTAGAGACATGGAATGTAAATAACCCTTTAACTAATAAGAATAAAGTGATAGATAATAATAAATAAAATTCCAGTGTTCTAGATATACTTACAATATATTAAGTAATAGTGATATACAAAGTTTGACTGTGTCTTATTCATATAAGCAAACTTAAATTTAACTGTAAGCTTGTTTGTTTGATAAAATAAACGATTTTAGTGGAATGTTATTATATGACGAACTAAATTAAGGCGACCGTTGAGTAAAAATTTGACAGGTCTGAAGTTAGTTGGTTTTTAATTGAATCAAAATGATTGTGTGTTAAAGCTGAAGTGAGTTGATACAAAATCCAACTACCATATATAAGGAATGAAAGGAGTGAATTAACTCCTCAACAGTGATATTATAGCTTGAATAAACTCATTGAGAGGTTGATTAGAATGGATCACCTTCCATTCTATTAATTAGAGTGCTTCCCAATTGCGGAGCTGATTTGATGCCGTGAGGGACAAACAATACGCTTGTAATAATGGTGAAACTTTTACATGGTTAAAGTTCACATACCTTGCATGCTTTGCTACTTCAAAATTAGGATTGGGGATTGGGGAGTGGGGACCCCACTTCTCACTCCTGCTCTTTGGAACTAATAAAAATAACAAGATACCAAAGAGAATGTAACCATCCAAACCCATTTAAAAATTTCAATTGGAAAGATCAAGGTAGTTTTAGAAAGATCGTTTCTGATTCCTTGTTGCAATAACTAGGGGCATACAAAAACAAATTAAATTAACTATTACCTTTTTTTTTAATGGAAAATGAATACTGAAACTGCCTACAGTCTTATACTTAATTTTTTAAAATATAAATAAATACGCGTAGCTAAAAAGGAAAAACATAAATGAGAAAGAGACGGAGAAGAGAGTGACAAGATATGTTGACAACTTTAATTTCCATTTTCATGTAAAATTGGTTTTGTTTTGTGGATTTTATTTTTGGGGTCTTTTCTATTTGTTCTTTTTCTCTCTCATAGTGAGCAAAATCTTCTTTGAGAGAATGGCCCAGCACTGCAGATCCAAATCCCCATTCTTTTCTGCTTTTCTAAGGCATCTCAGAAAGCAAAATATCACTTTTTGATTCCACAGCTCTTCTGGGTCGCTCTCTTTTTGCTTCAACATTAATGGGTTTCTTCTGCTTCCGCTTCTCATCTTCACCAACAATGAGTGTTTGAATTTTCGCTTTTCCTGGTGAGTTCTCTTTTTTTCTGTTCAATGGTCATCTTCCTACAACATTCTCTTTTTCCAATATTTATTTTACTCTAAGTTTTTCATTTCTTTTAATTTTTTTATCTATACTATTTACTTGTTTCTTCTCCCAAGAGGTCAATTTTTGTGGTTGATTTTTGACTGGTTTCGTTGGTTCTTTTATAATGAGCAACGTGTTTCGGTGATTAATGTAATTGGCTTTAGTTTTAATGAATGAGATACTCTTGAGTATTCTTCCTTTGTTCTCCTGTTACTTTTTGGCTACATCAAATGATTTTGATGGACCTTCTTTTAGTTTTGAGAATAAATAGTATTTTATTTTTTATTTTTATTTCCCTTGGCTTGAGTGTTGGATGGATGGGTTTGATACTCTTGTCTCTTGAGCATCTGATTCTGATTGCAAAAGATTATTTTCTTGCGAGATTTGTCTCTTAGAGAATTTTCTGATGGACTTAATATCATAGCGTTTGGCTTAACTCTATCTTATTCAGAAAATTCTTTTGATCACCGTTGCTACTCTGTGCTTTGCCTGCAGTTTATGCTGTGCTTACCATTAATAGCTTTAGTGTATGCTGCTCTTCTGTTCTGGTTCAATCATACTTGTGAGTGTTTGGTGTATATTTTCTGGTTAGGAAACAATTACACCTTTTTGTAGATAGTATTTTATTGTACTGAAAATGTTTTTTTGTGTATAGTGCAAATCCCCTTTTGGAGAAGGCTAATTGTGATCACAATTGGTTGTTTGCTTCAGTGGTTTGTGTTTACCATTTTCAATTTTAAATGCTTCTGCTAGATGGTTTGGTATGCCCTTCTATTATCAATATCAAAGATGGTTCAAATTTTAGTTTAAGAGCCATCTTCAGGGAATCAATTCTTTCTTCCAAATTTTGTTGATATTGCTTTCCTTTTGATGGCAATGGAATTGAATTACTGGCCTGCCCTCATGGCATTAGATGTGTTGACCCTTTCTCTTTGTGAAGGTGGCTATAGGCTCCTCCCTTCTCTTCAACTCTTTGTCTTGTAGGCTATATATTTTTATTCTTTTGGGGTGATGGATCAGATTGTTTTGGGGCAGATTTTCTGTGAGAATATATACTGCTTGATGAGATAGACTGTTTTAGGTGACGATGTCTGGTTGTCTGGATCTATAGATTTATGCATAATACATTCTATGTTGCATTAAATATGTACAATGTATATTCCTTATGAGTTCTAAACTTCTGATATTAAATTGTAAAACAATGTAGAATATGGATGATTGAATTTGGCATCTCGCAGTTCTTTTTTCTCCTTTTATTTGTTTGTCATGCTGATTGAATAACATTATTCTAATTGAATCTAATTATTCTATTTTTGGGTGTATTTGTACATTATTTGGAGCTATTACTTTAGCTATTGACTGGAAATCTTGTGTTTCCAGTAAATAAATGCCTATGAAAGTCAAAGTATAGCAGGTGTCCCTTCCTCTGGGGCTGAAATTATGTTTTTTTTTTTCTAAATTATTTAATCAAATTATTCTCATAAAAGAATATTTATCAAATAATCAATTTATTTTTGGTTTGATTGCAGGTTTTCTTTCCCTTAAAAATGAGGATACTTTATTATATCTTGTTTAAGTGAAACGTCTACATTATCATCTATGGCATTATTGGGCATGAGTGCAAACATGCGATGCAATGGTTATTTCCCAGGATATCATTCCACACGGGATCTTGTCTTAGGCACCGAAGGCAGCTCATGGACCTCATCTAATGGTAACAGTGAACTTAAGAATGACTGTTACCAAATTGGTTCCCTGCCATTGTCATCAACATGTCATCTTTTAGGGTTCAACAAGGAAGTTCTGAAACAGACAATACTCAAGCATGAAGCCATATTTAGGGACCAAGTATGTTAGCTTTGTTGTTTCATTTGTGTTTTCTGTCATACTCATCTCTGCAAATAGCTGCCAAGAAGAATTCCTTTTTGTGTTTTTATTAAAAATATATTTAATGGTATAGGGCAAGCAACCTCTTCATGTGAAAGGATAACCAATTATCTACACAAAGCAATAATTTTCTTAACCTTTCCTAATTTAGTCTTCATCAATCCAGGATTAAACATTTATGATATTCTGGTTGCTGGAATCCTGAAGTTGTATAATTCTGGACTCATGCATTGAAGAGTTTCCAATCTAATCTGTTAGGGTCAGCAGTAGGTTCTATAAGAAGACATGTATATAACGGATTTTGAATAAAGTGTTTAAAATTATATGATCTTATCTGTTTATTTAATAGAAGTGATGGTCAAGTGAAGAAGCTTATTTAGAAAAATCAAAATGATTGTAAAAATTTCATCACATTCATTCTTTTACTATTTTACCTTTATAAAAAAAATTTATTTACATTCTTATTTCATCCAAAATAAAACATCCTTGTGGAAGTTTGTTATTTCTGGCAAATATATTATTCTCCAGTTATCTTGGATACTCATCAAGATCGTAACTATCTTTTGTCTCTGAACTGTACATTGCTGTTCAGATTCATGAGCTTCACCGTATTTATCAGAAACAGAGGGAATTGATGGATGAAATTAAAAGGAATGAGTTACATAAACATAATTTAAGATTGGAAACATCATGGTCCAGTTCCTCTTTGTATTACTCACAAAGCATGCCTCAGTTGGCTGGTCAATCATCTGTTTTAATTGGTAAAAGCATCCCATTGGCTTCTGTGCAAGAAAAGAGCAGGCAATTATGTCCTAATCCTGCTCCAACTGCAATCAAAGAATCTTTAAAAGATTCTAAACTATCAGAGTCTTCTTACAGAAAAGTTGGAAAGAAAATATTGGATCTTCAACTTCCGGCTGATGAGTACATTGATAGTGAAGGTGAATCTTTTGAGAATGAAAGAATTATGAAACAGGCCCCATTGTCAACAGATAATTTAAATGGAATTTCTCAGGTTGTGTATAAGATTGATGCGAAACCATATGGAGTCAATTCTAATGGTTTTACTGACTTAAATTTACCATTTAAGCTTGAAGAGAGTGTGGTGAAGTCTGATGATTTGGGGGGCCAAATCCATCATGGAAACTATACCTTTCATGACATGCCCAGAAGAATGGCATTAGGCTCTCATAATTTGCCCAATGATGCCATCCAGAATTTGAACAAAAGACAGGATCTTGAAGCTTGCTCAGATGTTCCACTACCGAACCAGGGGAAGAAACAAGGATGGCTGTCCTCAGGTATGGTGCTCAGATGACCCACTCCACACTTTCTTTTAGTCATTATAATACATTTTTCTTGTATTGGTATACCTCTTCTTATATGGCGAATTCTTCATCTTTCAGGGAAAAATGATGGTGGCTTCGGTTCTCTTGCTAAATTTAATAATACAGAAAGACTTGGGCCAAGCAGTGCTTCATGCTCGTCTGCTCCATATCAGCTTGTTTCTGAGGCTGATATGACAACTTCTGGGATTTCACCAGCATTGTTATGGAAAAGTATCAAACCTGGCCCTAGTTTAGATTGTCAAAGCTATATTATGAACAGAAACAGTAGGTCCATTCTTTTGGATCTACCATCAGTTAGTGCTAATGATATAAACAGCAGTGACAAACAGGTTTCATCATCAGCTACCCATGAGCTTGGGAAGTATGTCAACGGTTCTAAAGATGTGGGAACTTACAAGAACATAAACCTGAATATTATGCCTGCTGGTTATTCTGATACAGCAGCATTTCAAAGCATTCGGATTACTGGTGAAAAAGATGAATTTCAGGATTCAACTTGTATTGAATCTTTCCTTTTGACTCCTTATAAATCTGGGTATGTACATTCTGATTTGAAGTTAAATAAAGTTGAGAAAAGTAACTCAAAGAGAGACAAGATTCTTGCAATAGACCTTAATGGAAAGCCTCATAGTTCCAAAATATGCGAGAACCTACCAAAAAATCAATTGATTGAAGAAATTAAGAAGATATCTGATGTAAATTCACCTAGTTTCCATGAACCTGACATTGGAGAACAGACACCTGGCCGTGAACATTTCTTGGGGAATGAGAAGAAAAGGCACAAACATTTTGACCTAAATTCATGTATGGATGAGGGTGAGAATATGGCAATTGATACTGATCTGCATGCACCTGAAAGCCCAGAGAACAAGGAGTGTTCTCCACCCAGAGGAGAGTCTGATGAAAACCATCTTGAGATGCCCTTGCAATTGGCAGGAGAGGAGGATCCAGAGGTACAAGAGGAGCAAGCCAAAACTGCAGCTGAGGCTTTGGTTTCCATATCAGGAGTTATTGCCCAAAATGGTGTCCAAATGACAACTTGTCCATCATCTGAATATTTTGTAAGTAGTTCTCTCCACTGGTTTGCTGGAATTGTTTCCACAATAGTGGATCATTTAGAGAGTGAGGTTAAGGTTGATTTCAATGGTACCATTAAGGATCTTGAGGACTTTCTGCCTGCTGACTTTGATTACTTTGAGTTCATGTCCTTAAATTTGACCAAGACAAAAGACCTAGATTGCTGCCACAAGAGTAGTGGCCAAAAAGGGCAAGAAGGTGGATCTACATCACCAACTCAACCAAGAAAATGCCGAGCAAATAAGGGGAGGCGGGGGAAAGACTTTCAAAGTGAAATTCTCCCAAGCCTTGCTTCTTTGTCGCGGTACGAGGTGACTGAAGATCTTCAGACCATAGGAGGTCTCGTGGAAGCTGCTAGAACAAACTCGACAACTGGTTACCTAAAAAGTGCAGGTAGAAATGTTTTGGCTCGGGGGAGGAGAAAGTCTTCTGCTTCAGCCTCTAACATCACAGACTTGCTGTTGAAACTGAAGGAGCTAAATAATATCACTGAAATTGATATGGAGAAAAGGGGGATCATAAGCTGGGGAAAGATTTGTAGAAAGAGAAGGGGCCAGAGAACTCCAACCAGTAAACCCCACTTTATATTTAGCTAAGTATATAACTAATTCTATAGTTTAAGTTCATGAACTTTTGGATGAGGTTTTTATGAACTATAGGATCGTTTTGTAAATGTCATCACAGACACTTCATAGTATAGTATGTGAGAGTATGTTAGAAAATAGAAAAAGAACTCCTATGTATGTCCAAGTTGCTTCTTGGAATCAAATCCATTCTCTCCTATACAGAAAATGCACTGACTTTTGTCTCTTTCCTTGCGTGTTGCATTTTGGATCTAGTACGACCTTAAAACCATGCATATTTGAAACAAGTAACGCCATATCGAGAGTTATAATACTTAAAAGAGTCTTATTACTCGATGACTTAAATATGAAAATGGTTGTCACTGAATATAGTAAGTGATCTTTCTTGCTTGCATATTTGTTGTACTTCTTTAATTTATAAATTTGGTAGCTATTGAATAAATAGTTAATTCAACTATTGATATTCATTAATCTCATAAATAATGATGCCATATGGTCAGATTCTTGAAGGATTGAAGATATTTTGACAGGCTTAACCAATACGCCACTTCAGTTAACTAATTTAGTTTATAGATAATATGTCATGCTATTTAATTCAAGAAAATTGTGGTATTTATTCTATACCAATTAGGTTTTTATGGTTTTCTATTGTCTAATTTTCTGCATTTGAAGTAGTTAAGATGACTTCTTTCTTGAGAGGAACATATTCAGTTGCTTTATTTTTAAGATTCGCTCCTTTTTGTACATTTCGTGTTTCCTCTGAATTTTCTTTATCTTTCTAGAAATGAAAGATGGATTGAGTGCCTTAGAGGAATGTTTTTTTTACACTTTTTTGGTTTGCCTTTAGAGCAATTAATTTGATCTTTTTTGTGTTATCCTCCTTGTTCATTCCTCGCTCTTGGGTCTTCAGTGGTTCAGGAGTTCATATAATCTGAGCCTGTTCATATCTTTAAGTAAGTGGATGGTCGTTATCTTTGTTATTCAAGCATTGTTTAGTCTTTTCATTATTTTTCTTATGTGTTCATTTTGTTACAAGTTCATCTAAGAGGCTTTATTTGAAATCTTCTAAAACATTTGGTCTATCAACTTAACTTCTGATAATGGACATTGAAAAGTTTGTATGAATGCACTAATATGCTTACTTTTTACTCCTCCACTTGGTCTATTCTTTCATGAGCTACAAACTTAAAATCTAAACTTAGTAATAGTCTAAATGACTATGGGCACAAATGAGATTAAACTTTGTAAAAGCATTAGCTGGACTCAGGTCTCTTTTCCTTTTTATCATTTATCAAGTTTTATGAAAGGGAAAGCTTATTCATCTTACAAACAATGCAAGACATTTGAAGAAAGGTCATGCATCTATTGTATAGAGGAAAGAGGATCAATCAATTCAAGTATCACTTATCCATTACAATTATTTATTTTATGATTTTTACAAGTATAAAAATATTTAAATACAAATACAAAATTTTATCTCAAACTAGAGTGAGAGAGAAAATATATCATAATATGTTATCATTATATTAAGTGAAAATATGATTTGCACGATTTATAGGTATCACTTTGTATTGTGTTGGGATCCACGCTCCCTATGTCCCACCAAAATTTTACAAAGGCAGAAGTATCGTTTCAGAATCAAAGAGCTAGCTGAACGAGTTCAACGGTGAATTAGACCATTGACTGGTATAATGAATTCATGAAATTAGTGAGTTTAAGAATCAAATTTTAAACCCGCTGGTGACCATTTTGATTCTGCAAACATTTCAAGCAATTAATAAAAATTAAGTTTGCCACGTAAAGGAAGTGTGGATTGCAAACGAACGGCAACAATCAATTTTAATTCAATTATAGATAGATGGTTAGATATTTATTTCCTTATTTTCAATATAATCTTTCTTTTATATATTTTGACATTGCTTGATATAAAAAATAAATAAAAGTAATGCTACGTATGTAATATTTCTGATTTTCATAAATTACAAAAGATTAAATTTAATGCTTTACTAGTATCAAATTTTTTATACTGCTATCTAAAGATATATTACCTAATGTAAGTTCTAGAATGAAAAAGAGAGCAAGGAAGCAGAAGTCAAACTCATCGGAAAATCAACCTTTTTTTTGTTGTTGTTGGAATTCCTTAAATTTGTGTGAAATCCTATTTTAAACATATGTGTAGCCATATGTTGAACTCTTACGACTTAAATTTAATTTTTAAAATAAATAAATTTCATAAAATAGAAAAAATAAAATTTTTTATTCAAAGGATTTCTTAAGGCATAATTCAACAAAATATTTTTAAATGTAAGGATGGATTACAATTTAAGTCAAATGATTGCTATAGGACTTAATCAATACATTTCAATTTCAAAATAAGATAAATATTCTAAGTCCTATAGCAGTGTCATCCATTCCTTCACTAAGTCTGGTGCAAATTGTTTTGGTTACTTGAAAAATAAATGTAAGAGTGAGTACTCTACACTATCCAACACACACAAACATAGAAACTCACCTTGTACATTTCACATGTTTTCTAACATATTCTACTCAACTATAATCAATCACAATCAACACTTTCAAGCATTCTAATTCAATTCACAACCAACAACATTTTATACACATACGCTCACTGTACGTAGTCACGCTCACTGTGATCACAGTTTCACATCATAAATGGTCGTCGTTTACCCCTGCCTCATAGATACCACGTGTGCAGTCACGAGTTGCTTTGCAAAGGTGTTAGTCAAAGACTGAGTCAGGAAGAAAGTGTGTGGCCTGTGGTGCACACAAGCTCACTGTTGGTGTCACCACCACCCTCTCTTCCCCAAAGTATTTTTACCACCCTCATCTTTTACACCCTCAGTATATCGCTAAACCATTCATAGCATATTCACATTCGCATTTAACATGCCCATCGCATACATTTCAGCTATATTCTTATCACAATTTGCATTCAAGTTCACACATGGCACATATGCCCACATTCATCTGCGTTACATTCAAATCCACAACATTTCCAAGCATAACCAAATCATTCTCAGCACACGCATTACCCAACATTAGATACATTGTAGCCAACCACACCATATCCATCACACATCACATTCAACATTGTAAAACACACAACACTCCCATCGCAACCCATATCAATTAATCCATTCCATTACAATCAAATCATTTTCATCCAAATATACATCTTTCTATGTTCTATCTCAACCACATTGCAATCTTGCAATCCATGGCAAAATAAATGAATTCAAATCATAAGAAGATAGGATAAAATCTCCTCTTACCTCAAATCAAAGACCCACACACGAAATCAACAAAGGAAGTGCTCCCCACACGAGTTTCGTCCCTAGAACATGGAAATCTCCATAAGAAACCGAAGAAATCAAGAAGAGGAACGAAAAACCAAAATCCTAACTATTCAAACTTACCTCCAAGCATTCCCAACACGATTTCAACCTTCAATCTAGCTCCTAAACGGATTTGTAGGTAATTTAATTGGTAAGAATAGGTTTTGAGTTTAGAGAATCGAAAGGGAAATGTAGAGAGAAGAGTGGGAATGCATTTCCCAAACCCTAGACCCTTCAAATATCCCTTTGGTCGCAACACTCTCACTACAGCGAGAGGACCTCGTTGCAGCGACACCCTTTCTCGCTACAACGAAAATCTCAGAGGAAACTGCACTCTGGTTTCTGCAGAATCTCGCTACAGTGAAACTACAACCAGAAATACATCCTCCACTGTCGCCTTCTTGCTACAACGAGAATGATACAGTTTCATGCTCTTCGCCCAAGACCTTCTCGGTACAGCGAGAATACCTTGCAGCACCCACACTTAGCCAAATTTCCAATCAAACCAAATCAACCACAGTCAAACATTCTCAACATATATATAAATAATCGACAATATTACAAAATTTGGGGCGTTACAGAGCTAGGAATTTGAAGAAAAAAAAAAAAAGGTTTATGGTGGAAGTAAAGGTATGGATAAACCTAGTTTTTTTTCTCTTTAAATTTCAGTTATTATTATTTTAATAAGTTATAACGTGAGTTATGATCTTTTATAGTGAGTTATAAGTTAATATGCACATGTTCTTTAAAAGGATTAAAACGCATTTTGAGCAAATATCTTGTATCCACATATTATAGTAGTAGAAATCTCTCAAACTGACCATGAATATAAATCATATTGATTGAATTATGTTAAAATTTATGTGTTTCACTACTTTTTATTCTTTATTTTTTGTTTTTGTTAGTACAATTAATATCAGAGCTTGCTTTTCTAGGATCAATTTTGGTGATCACAATATTTTCACACAAATTTGATTTTGAAAAATTCAATTGATTGAATGATTTTGCTAAGTGAAAATTAAAGATGAAGGCACTTCTAGTGCACAAAAAAATGTAAAGCGAGTGTTAAATGATGAAGAAAGATTGTATGCGATTTGATAGAAAAAGCAAAGAGAGATATATTAAAAAAGACGCATATTTATTAAACTTGATTATGAGATTCTATGAGAAGTGGTTGACCAAAAGACTATTATAGAAATATGGAACAAGCTTATAGAAAGATTTCAAAAAAAATATTCAACCAATTTAGTTGTATTAGAAATAGTGTCTGTATACCTTATACATGTATGGGAATACGACATTGAGAGTTCATATTATCAATTTTCATTGAATTATCCTAAACCTTCAAGGTGTCAATATTAAAATCTATGATGAAGACCAAAATATTATTATGTTATGCTTTTTGTTGAAATCATTTAAGCACTTTGTGGATTCAAAGTTGTATGGTAAAGATACTATAATTGTAATAAAGTGAGGGATGGTATGCAATCTAAAAAACTAAAAACGAGAGTCTTTGGTTCTAATAAAGATGATGAATGTTTAACAGTAAATAGAGACAGAAGCATAAAAAGAAAAAATATTAGCAAGAGCAATCCAAGTTTTAATTCACATTTCAATGCCAAAAAAGGGGAAATACTATAAGAAAAAGGGAATATATTAAGAAGAATTGTTCACAATAGAAAAATAAAAATAATAAAGGTAAAGTTAATACAGATATTGTACAAAGTAACGCAATTATTTCTAGTGATAGTTCAAATGAAAGAGATGATAGAGATGTTGTAATACATACTATAACTAATTTTTGGTAACATTAAGTAAGGTAAAGTCAGTGTAGTTGTTATACAAACTAACACAACTACTTTTGGGGATAGTTCAGAAGAAATATATAATAGAGATGTTTTGATAGTTAATAATACTAATTTTGTTGATACTTAGAAATATTTATTTATTTTTTAATATATTTTTAATAATTAATTATTAAAATAATTCAAAAATAAAACTATTTTATTTTTGTCACGTCATCATAAATTTCATTCACTCAGGTGACAATGAAATTTATTTTATTTTTATTTTTAAATTAAATTTTATATGTAAAAAAGACAAAACTAAGATTAAAATGTGTCAACATCCTATTAAATTTTGTCTATATAAAAAACAAAACTTTTTTTTTATTTTTTTAAGAGTTTCGTCCGAAAAGTATATAAAACTTTTTATTATTTAAAAAAACTCTTGTGATCATTCCACTTCATTCTCATACCGTCATCCTGTGTTCTTTCTTTACAGTGTTTTTTTTTTTTTTATTCTATCACCAACCCTTTCTTGCACTAAAGTTTTGGTTTTTCTTGCACCCAATTCTTCTTCTTGCTTTGATTTTTCATTTCTTGAGGGTTTGTAACCATTGCTGGGCTATATTCAGTCATTGAAGAATATAGGTAATTGCTAAACAAAACATGAGGGCAGAAAAGATTATATTTTCAAATTTGGTCAGCAAGAAGCATGCTTACAACACTTCTATC